CAATTTTCCATCTCTCGAGATACACGGTACATTTGTTAATATATTTGAATTTGAAAAATTCAATGAGAGTAATGGAATGAAAGTAGAGCGACGGTGTGGAAGTCTCCAAACAGCTTCTTTTACAATTATTTCGTGTAAAGAAAAAACCTTTTCAACACATTTCAACCCATTTTACTCCGTCGCTTGAAAAAATAACACTGTCAAAGCTAAAAACTTCCTTATTCTCTGTTAAAAATCACAGAATTCACCTGTACCCTCGAACGAAGGTGAAAGAGATGTCCATTTCCTTTCCGTCTGCATCCCCCTTAATCACCTACCCCAGCAGGGGGCGAGCGGAAAAAAATTAATAACCCCTTTTCGAAAAATAAACCGTGTGAAATATATTCCTTTCTCAAAAATAATACTCGAGGGCAATGTATTCAAGTGTGGGAACAACATAATTTCCCTATTCCTAGCTGGTTGTGTAATTAGAGGGTGGAATCAAATGGGGTTCCGAGCCGAATGGGATAACAACATGGTGGGGACGAATTTGATATATATATGCAGACGCGCGCGCTTGCTAGATATCATTTCATTCTGCGTCGTCGTTTTGCCACAGTTCGCGCGAGCTCGACGACGAGATAGAAAGTCAATACAATGTCGGTGAGAAAGTTTTTCCGTTGGACCAGCCACAGCTGTCTTAAGGTGAGTTTGACTCTAATATTTTTCCAAAATGAAACCACTGAGCTGTGGAAATACTTACCGAAGTGTTCTGCTAAGCAGTTCCCGTTTTTCTCGTTTACAAACACAATCACCGCTCGTTGTTTTCGTTTATCCAGCTTCCTCGCCACTTTACTCGATATCACTTCTTCCCTTGCTTTCGAGTGAGGGAAGGGTGGAGTTCTATATGAAAATTGGCGTTTCGTATTGTAAAATCACCCCTGCCCCAATATTTTATTCAATATCGTAATGTATCGTTTGTTTCCAGATTTTTAAAAACTGGACGACGTCCGTCCACAAACGCAGACAAAGGAACAAGTACACCAGCTATGGATCTGCGGTTTCGCTATCCAACTACGGCTACAGGGGAAGCATTTCCACGGAAATCACAGTTCTGGAAGACACCTTTCTTTGCCCTTGCTGCCAAAGCAATAACAACGAAGTGAATGAAAACAGACTCAATGAGTGCATCGAAAAAAGAGAGTGCAGTGTATAATAACTTCCACTTCTTTTGTACATATTCCCTTTTTATTGTATATTACGATGTTGACTGTGATATTAGTATTAATAATTACATGAATTTATTCGATTTGTTTTTCTGTGATGAGAGAAAATTTCACACCACTGCATGAATGTTGCAAACAGAGAAATATGCACAATTCTTTGATTTATCTTCTCGATTTTGTAACCGCCCACAGAATTATCTGAACAAATATTCATTATTTTCGCTAAAAAGGTTGTCAAACAAGAAACCTCCTAAATAAATATTGTTGAGGTCTTGATAACACCCACAGAAATAAAAATAATACACTGTCAATATGTATTTGGATTATAAAATAATTACCGACACAAAGTTCATTAGATAGCAACAATAATGTCAGGGTAGATCATAATAATGCTAATTATAATGCCTAATGAGCTGTCGAAATGAAAACAATACACCAAACACTTGTGGAAACGTAACATGAACAGTGAAGGTGAGCAAAAGTATTATGAAATTTTCATTTCTTGAGTATCGAACCTTGACTTCATATGATTTTATTAATAGCTATCGCAGATATATAGTTTTATAACAAGATGAATGATGAAAAACAAAATTCAGTTAACATGAAATTAGAATATGAACAGAGTCTTATGTGTTAATGAATAGGTAATTTTTTTATGATGGGTAGAAACTAATACACACTGAAAAAAAATTTAGATTCACAGCAAAGTTAGGTTAGCAGGGTTAAGTATGACCATAATTAACACAATGTGAAATGTTTCTGAAATTAAACAGAACAGGCTGATATTTGACGCAAGATTTTTGCTATAAACGGTTTCCGAAGCCGCGCCACGTGTTTCGTTCTATGACAGCTTCCTCAGGCCAGAACAAATGTCAGGAATACCATTTCTTGAGGAAACTATTTGATAACAAAGCACTTGCCGGGGTTCTCAAAACCTTTTATAGTAAGTTGTATTGGTACAGTGAATTTCTTCTACTGACTTTTTTGATTAATTTCAACAACTGTGTTAATTGATATCAAATAATCTTTCTTGATTTGTATTTTCCTTTTCTACCAGCATAATGCTGTTGATAATAACTGTAAAAGAGGTATGCTCTAACAAAAATGAAAAATGTGAAATAACACAAATAAGGAAAGAAACGGGTACTATTTTGAAAGAAGCTGGAGAAATATCGAATACTTTCGTTAAACATTTCACAGGCATCGGTAAAAAATTAGCCAAGGAAACTGGCCATCTAGGCTTAAAATTTCAGTGATTACACCGGTGCATGAAAATGGCGATAAACTGGATTCTAACAATTATAGACCTATATCACTGATATCTAATCTTGGAAAAATACTTGAAACTATAATCAAAGTAAAAATATCGAAATCTTTCCAGAAATAAAAGATTCTTGCCCCGTGCCAATATGGGTTCCAGGAGTCTAGATCCACTGATGATGCAATTGAATCATTGACTACAAAAATATATCGAATGCTCAAAAAAAGTCACCCCTCTTTGTGCATATTCGCGGATCTAGCAAAAGCTTTTGACACAGTGTGTCACCAGAAACTCCTGAAATCCATTGCAAGTGCAGGGTTGAGGGGTAATATATATAAACTGATGAAATGTTATCTAGAAAGAAGAAAGGAATGCGTAAAAATTGACGGCAGACTCAGTCACTTTGAAACTGTGAAATTTTGGAGTCCCGCAAGGTACAGTACTGGGTCCCACTTTATTCAACATATACCTAAATGATTTATGCAATGTTGATACAGAAGGCCACATAATCAGCTTCGCGGATGACACCGCAATCTTCTATTCTGATGAAAATTGGCAACAGTTGTTTGGCAGAGTCGAGAAAGATTTTATCAAAATAAAACAATAGTTCGACTCCAAATTACTCACGATTGATTTCGAAAAGACGAAATGTCTTCCGTTTTCAATCATCAAAACCAATTTCACATCTATCAATCACCGACAATAATAACACCTTCACTATACCCATAATCAAAAACATAAAATGGGACACTCACATAAAAAAGCTCAATTTCAAATTGAGAAGCCTCACAGCAAAAGTTCAAACATATCAAGAAATTTCTTGAAATGAGATCCTTGAGAATTTTATATTTCGCACTGGTGGAATCACAATTGAGGTACGGAAAAATAGCTTGGGGAGGTGCCTACAATAATCAAATGAACGGACTCGACGTACTCCAGAAATGGATACTAAAGATAATATATTCGAAAGATTGAGATACTAAACAATTATTTTTGAACGTCTTGATAGTGAAGTAAAAAAAAAGGATCTAAAAATTACTATGTGCACATATATAATACTCGAAAAGGAGATAACCACCTCGCAGTGCCTATCGTCTCTAAAACAATATCCCAACGTTTATCATATTTCCTCAAACCCAGTGAACTGAAAACAATCATCTTGCTAAGCTCATTCAATAAAGAACTGAAAAATTGGATTTCAAACCTTCCTAGATCATTCACCCATCAACTGATCGATATAAAGAATAATTTCTGAAATTAACTAGAAGCACACGAAAACGCATGCAATCACCACACATACACTTACGTTAAATAATCATCAACAGTGCAAAACACATTCAAAACTAAAAAAAAATTGTTTCGAACCTCTCAAATGTTTTGCTTTCTTTTATTTCAGTTGGTAAAACATTGAACAAACGTGGACCTGCAACATTAGGACCTTTAAAAGTAATCCGCCCTCGAGCTAGCGGAACTTGATATAATTTTTTGCCTCGTGTTAATTGTATGAGTAGAGCGTATTGAAGAAAATCGACTCTCATTTTTGAAAACATAGACACAAATTTCCATAATGTACAAACAGGGTAAAATCAATACTTCCAATTTCTTGAAGAATGATTTACTGTACTCTTATGTAACTTATACCAGTGATACTCCTGATGATGTTTTATGACACAAAACAACTTCACCTGTGTTATTTGACTAACCATAGGAACGGCTCCACTTCAGTATAGTATATGATTTTTAGTTGATCTAAACTGGGAATATAGCTGGATTTCGTAGCTTCAATGCTAAAGAATGCAATTTTGGAATTAATACATCACAATATGCATTATAATTCAGGTTGTTGTCAATCTCAACTCCCAAAAACTTGGTACTTTTCGACAATGGAAGCGGATGATTATCCACATCAATATATACTGGCAGCATAGTTCGTACTGAAAACAATTTTCCCAACACCAGAAAAAAAATTACGGTTTCTCAACGCGCGTCGAAATAACAAAGGTCACAATACTGAACCTTGTGGTACTCCGAGTGATAGAGATATCCGTTGAGAGCTGATTGTTTTTTTGTTACCCTTAATAACACGGGTGATGGTAACATATTGGAGGAGAAACGGAAATTCAGTTCCTTTCTATAGTGATGGAAGTAGGAAACTTGTATATTTTTTTGTTATCAATTATATTCAAGATTATTTCGTGATCTACATAGAGGATATACTTTTTTATATATTTTTCGTTAATGGTATCTAGTTGACTTTCATTAGATTATTTTTATACATGTCGCCTAAAGAGTAATAGAATGTTTCATATGTTTCGACAGAGTCGATACTTTTTTTTCATTTCAATAGCTTTTTCAAGCTCTTTCGGGAACGTCTATTCATTATAAGATTCCATAATCCGAAGCATTGTGATTTTATCTCTGATCAATCAATATAAATATTCAGATATCAAACAGGACAAGACGAAAAAATATTATACTACAGATCACGTAACAACTGATTAACTACACGTTCGCGTGCTAAAATTACACCAAACACATTTCTCAAGATTGACTCAGTTATCATCAAGTAATCCAAAAGAAACACGTTCTGATTCGATATGTACGAGTATATGAATCAAGTAGACGTTTTCATTATTTCCACAGAATCCACTTATGTCAAATTTAATTCGTCTACAACATATCTCGATTGAAAACAAGTTTTAATGTATTATTAGGACAGGTCATGACGGTGGATCTGGATCTTTTTAAACGTAAATAATTTATATGAAAAAATCGATGTATAGCGTAAACTATGATTTTTAATGCAAACAAAACGTTTTATCTTTAAAATGTGTGAAGCTTCGCAGAGAAAAAAACCGGGCAAAGAAATTGTCTAATACAATTTATATTGTACAGTTTCAATAATTCGCCACTTCTCATTTCCCACAACAGATCCATTATCTCCCGAAGCGTAGCGCAACGAACGCTACTCGTCAATACCGTAAAAGCGCCGTAGGTGATAATAAAGCACTCTTAGGGCCGCTTTATATCAATGGATAAAGGTTGACAGCAAATGCATTAGGAACTCAGGTGGTGCATTATCATTATTATTATATAAGGTTAAACGACATAAGAAAGTAAAAATTCAGATCGAATCGAATTCAGTCTTTATCGTTATCGATTCTTTCGTGTTTATTCCATGAGTATTTGTCTATATACCAGTCAGAGAGAGAGAGATAGAGATAGAGAGAGAGAGACAGATTGAGAGAGAATTTCCAATTTGAAATTGAACAATGAGATTAACAAGAACTGAAAAAAAATCGTGAGTATCACAAAAATACATTATTTTTCTACGTGGGTGTTGAATAATAAAAAAATTCTAATAACTACTTCACCACTAGATTTGGATAGCTATATCGATTTAATGAATAAAACATTTCTGAGAAGACAAGTTTTTATGTGATCTTATGAATGTAGTCATGCTGTTTACAAATATGTACTTACATAATATAATTTGTGAATCTATATAAAAAATATAAATAAAAACAGAACTGTCAGTTAGCTAAGAAATGTCTTTTGATTTGTATAATCTGGCAGTTGAATACATCTAGGTCATGACTAAAAGAATTAGAGGTATCGCACATTGTATAAATTGAAGATTTTTTCATTATATTTGTACCCGGAGTGTTGAGATAAAATGTGACAATATTCCTAGATGACCGTCTAGGAACCCAAAAATTCAACATATGTAATAGTTGAGAGCAGGTGATGATATTGTTTATGACCTTGAATAAAAAAATAAATGAAGAATATTTACGCCTTACCTCGAGACTACAAAAATTG